AATCATAAACTATTAATCTTTTAAATTATAAAATTTAAATTAGAATATTAAAAAAACCAAAAACATCCATATAACTCTAAATTAAAATCCTTGATATTGATTTTAATAACTACATACAAATTATCACCATCAAGAGAAATATACTAAATCATCTATTATAATTGTATCTATGATTTACTTAGACTCAAATTTATTGACTTTTTGCTCAATAAATTTATCTTAATTAATAAAATATTTTAAATCATAATAAGCACTTAGATCATTAAATAAAACTTATAATATTAATATACTTATATCTAAATAAAATTAAAAGTTTTTATTTAATAATTTTACCAAATAAGTTATATTGATTGAACTTATGATATATCAAGTGAAAATTAAAAAATACAAATGTCAAAAAATTAGATACATCCATATAATCCATATACTATTTTATTTTATATTTACCTTCTTGAGACTTGATTCTATATTTCTCACTAATATGTCAATATACTATCTATTGATTTTGAAGTTATTTTGAAAGATATCTTTTAAAAATTTGATTGATCATTTCTTTTGGTGATGATGTCAAGCTTGAACACCCTCTTATATTAAAGAAAGACAAAGATATGAGATTGCCTAATTCATTTGGCAATGATATCAAGCTTGAGCATCTACTTATATTCAAGGTAGTCAAAGATGTGAGGTTTCTCAATTCATTTGGTAATGATGTTAAGCTTAAGTATCCACTTATATTCAAGGTAGTCAATGATTTGAGATTGTTCAATTCATTTGGCAATGATATCAAGCTCTTACACCCATTGATATCAAAAGTAGTCAAAGATGTGAACTTGTCCAAATTATTTGGCAATGATATTAAGCTTTTACACCCATTTATATCAAAAGTAGTTGAAGATGTGAGATTGCTGAATTCATTTGGCAATGATGTCAAGCTTTTATACCCATTGATATCAAAGGTAGTAAAAGATGTGAGGTTGTTCAAATCATTTGGCAATGATGTTAAGCTTGAGTACCTCCATATTTTTAAGGTAGTCAAAGATATGAAGTTGCCCAATTTATTTGGCAATGATGACAAGCATTTACAACAATTGATATGAAAGGTAGTCAAAGATGTGAGGTTATTCAATTCATATAATAGTGATATCAAGCTTTTACAATAGCTAATATGAAAGGTAGTCAAAGATTTGAGATTGCCCAATTTATTTGGCAATAATATCAAGCTTAAGCATTTATTTATATTCAAGGTATTTAAAGATGTTAGGTTATCCAAATCATTTAATAATGATGTTAAACTTAAGTACTCATTTTTATTTAAGATAGTTATAGATATGAGGTTGCTCAATTCATTTGATAATGATATCAAGCTTGAATATCCACTTATATTCAAGATAGTCAAAGATGTGATGTTACTCAATTTGTTTGGCAATGATACCAAATTAAAGCATCCATTTATATTCAAAATAGTCAAAGATGTGAGATTGCCCAATTTACTTGGCAATGATGTCTATTATTTATACCAATTGATATCAAAGGTAGTCAAAGATGTGAGATTGCTCAATTCATTTGGCAATGATGTCAAGCTTTTATACCAATTGATATTAAAGGTAGTCAAAGATGTGAGGTTATCCGATTCATTTGGTAATGATATCAAGCTTGACTATCTCTTTATTTTCAAAGTAATCAAAGATGTGAGATTGTCCAATTCATTTGGCAGTAATTTCAAGTTTTTATACCAACAATATGTATAACAATAATAAATATATATTATATTCTTTGCTAATCAAAAAAACCACTTATAAAATAAATTAGAATATCAAAATTTTATAAATGCTTGTAACAAAGATTAAAATGGTTTTATTTCATTTGCATATTTTACATAAAAAATATATATTCACAAATAATTAATAAAATAAAATATAAAAGGTCAATTTATTTTATTCATCTATTTATCCATAATAACACAAAAAAAAACTCATGTAAAATTTATGATAATATTTATTTATTTTAAAAACATCTCTTTTAAACATTTTTCAATACTTTAGGTGATAAAGTTAACAAAAAAACAAAAAAAAAAAAATGATAAAGTAAAATATTGACCAATTAAAAATCTTGTGTATATTTTGAGTAGAATCTTTCATGGCATTGCTTCTCACATGCAAATCCTTCCTTTTATATTCTTCACAATTGAAGTCCATTTGAGGGACAAACAAATAAACTAACAAACATACCATTTATTTATTTAAATTTAATTATTACAAGCACTTTTGAGATTATTTTATAAGATATATTGTGTCTCATATCCTAAAGCCAAAAGTTGAAATAGTACTAAGGTGGTCCCAACAATAAACATACTTTAATAATAACTTTCACATTGTGCATTTAGTATTTAGTTTTATATTTATAACAATACATTCTTATTTAAGCCTTATAGAGGACCTTATCCATGAAATATTTAATTCAATAGTTGTATGATCCAAAGAATTGAACTGAGTGTGGGGTGGTAATTTTGGAATCTGATGAATAGTCTTGTTCAATATAAAAGCTTTATAAAAACTAACCAAATTACTTTATGGTCATTATAGAGCTTTTGTTGGATGTAACAAATGATGTTGGTAATCAACTTACCTACAACTTGTTTCTTTTCACATCAATTAATTTGTATCTTAAAGACATGAGCTCCAAATTAACAAGACTATTTAACTAGTTTAGTAAAGATCAAGGAAGCATCTTTCTTTGCCATCACTTATAGCAATGATCCAAGATTATCTTCATATTTTGAAGAGGTTGATTGAAAAGGAGGCTTATCAATGTCCAAGCAAAGAATGAAAGCCACATTCAATCTTGAGGATTAGATGTATAGTTTTAGATTTCATTGGCACCTTGCCACATAAAATAATTCAAGTGGGTGTAAGGCAAGACTACAGCAACCTACATCCAACAATGTATCAATTGTCTATGGTCGTGTTGACATCTACAAAATGGGATTTTGAACTAAAAAGCAAAATCATCTTTTTGATGCTTTGTGTAGCTGCTACATGGATCTCTTTACATTGCTTGTCGTTTGCTCTTTTATATTATTCTTGTCTTTTAAAATTCCTCTCCTACTCTTTTTCCCTCAGTTTTTTTTGGGCGGTGAGGGATTTGGTGCTAAGTGGGCTTCTGGAGGCTGCATTCATTGTGCATATCTCATATGAAAAGTGGAACCAGATGCAACCAGTATTTTTTGCGGTGTCTGAAAAGGTCGTCAAGGTGGTGTAGTCGATGTTGATGTTTAGGTATCTCTGTGGAGCTTTATCTAGGCCATCGCCGAGATGTATGTTGTCTTGCTTCTTGGTATCACCCTTCAAAAGATAAGAGATGTGGGGGTATGACGAATACGCAAATTATGTTTCCTGAAGATTTCTCAAGGACATGACTTACATCATATCGTGAGAAGCTATCACTTTGTAGTAATTTTGACAAAGATTCGGGAGAAATTCAGTGCTTCGGTGGCTCTGAAGTCTCGTGTGAGCTTCTGGGTGCATACTCTAGGGTCTCTGGTATTTAGAAGTTGGTTTTCTGGAGTTGTTAGAGTTGCTGTACAAGTCGATCTCATCTTCAAACGTACGCAAGCCTAGGACACCTAAGCCCTAGGCTTTGAGCACTTGACTCAGCAAGTCCAATGTATTCTGACGATAAGCATCTTCATTCTCCATGACCATAGAGTTTAGAACCTAGTTCGGAACAGTCGCCGAAATCTGAGTGTAAGTGCTGTCTTTTATAAAACTGAATTGTACTTTATGGTAGCAGCAGCACTGTCAATGTTTGATTAGATGTACCTTCAATCAAAGATCGACTCAGTGGAATGACCTCCGAAACACCTGTTTGAAATTTAAAACCAAGCCACAAGTAACAGTCGACTTGTAAGTTGCAAGTTACTCACTGGCACTAGGGATCCCGAGACTGTTCTTCACAAATTCCTCCCCGTGCACCAAGGACTGTCTGGAAGTTCAGATTCTGACTCAGAAGCACGAACGGCACACACTCGTCTGAAGGATGCTATAATCCAAACTGTCCATCATACTGCTCTCTTCAGCCCCTTGCGATTGGTTACGCAGATCGCTTACTTATATAAGTTACGTTACGTCGGAAACTGAGCTTATTGCTAGGCGGAATGTCTGCGATAAAGCAGATTCTTGTTTCGCCGTCTCAGCGGAGCCAAATCGACGGTTTGCCCATTACTTCAAGTTGATGAACCTTACTTTTAGCTTATCATACCGTAAACTGAACCACAAGTTGATAAACCTTAATTTTAGCTTATCATACCGTAAACTGAACCACAAGTTGATAAACCTTAATTTTAGCTTATCATACCGTAAACTGAATCACAGACCTTGGCAGGCTCTACCCATCCCTGAAACCTAACATTTACCTGTGAGGAAAACGTTAAAAAAACCCAGGGAACGAGTGGGTAACAAAAGTCGAGATCAAGGTGTGTGACACATCAGGTCTGGCGGATTAGAAATCGCTGTGATTTTCTCAGAGAAAGTACCACGCTTAGTTCTGTGCAGCTCAGCTCAGGGGCAACAACCACCAGGGAGGACCACACACAAAGACTCGCTGACAGAGACCAAAGTAATTTTCTTATGGACTGCACTGGACGGGATCCATGCGCAGCTCCCAGGACAGGCAACAAGACAACTCTGCCACAGGTCGACGGTCACCATTCACTTTCCCAGTTAGACCTTGCATCATTGCATGAGAATTGTGTCTTATCCTGCATTACATTCTTTAAACGTTTAGCTGTACAAAAACTTTGCCTTCATCAATTAGTCATGCTTAACCTCTATCTTTAGGACAGATTGGTTATTCCCCGCCCCCCTCACCGGGCCAAGTTTACACATCGGCTGGGTTTTCATCGCTTGGACTGAGTGTTCCCTCTGTTGCGTCAAAGCGAATGACGTCACTGGAAAACATCAGTGCCGAGAAGGGGGTAGAGTTTAAATGGAGTGCTCATAAAGATGGGTGTCACCAAATCATGTTGGGAGCCATGTCTTAGCACACCGTGCTCACCCTCCTTCATTCAGACCCCCTTCTTTTTCCAGCAAAAGGTCGACAGATGCCTCGAATCATAGGAATCAATCAAGGCTACATCTCAGGCTTTGCTCTTGTAAGTGTGAGTTGCTTTTGGGTCATTAATGCTCCGCAGCTACTAGGATTAAGCAGCACGGTGAGAAGTTAGCTGGGTGTGAAAACGGCAAATCTGACAAATCCTACCTTGACGAGCACTTGTAAGCGCCGTGGACCAACTGTAGGCGCTTGCCTGCTTCAACACATTTATGTGCAGCATTATGAATGACCTGCGAGTCGCAGGAAATATGATGATTCTCCGACTAAAAACCACTGAGATGTGAGGTAAAAATCATAATCACTTGCTATGTCTTTCTTTACCGAAAAAGATTCGATCGTGCGAATTTGTCTCAAATCATGTACTGTGGTTCTCTCTTGAATAGGTCCGTGTGCGTGCAAGTGTCTACGTGCCCGTCTGCCAATGGCTTGAGACTGAATGGTAACTGGGCTTGGAAGTCAGGTTTAAATGTCGCAGGTCAATCTGTCTCCTGTGGAGACAAATTTATTTGTAGAAGCTCTCCTACAGACAGGATTCTAGTTTCGGCCGCGGAAGCCGCAGGAAAAGAAAGCTTCCTGGGAGGAGATTTTATGAATGACGTCAACTCTAGGGATTCTTATTCAGAGGCGCGAGTATCAAATGTAGAAGAAACCAGCTGGTGCTACAATATTGAAAAACAAGATTAGTAGTGAAAATGTTTCACGGATTCCTGGGAATGATATGGCACCTGTGGCTTCTAGTGATTCTCTTGTGCATATGTGAAAGAGGTTACATTCGGTAATTGCAATTGAGGGTATGCTGGAGTTGATGAATGGTAGTGTTAATGCAGATGCAAATTCGGCAAAGAATTTAAATGGGGAAAGTGGTGGTGCGGCGTTGTCGAGTTTAGAGAAGGCTTGGGATCATTGGAATAAGCTGGGGGCACCCAAGTTGATAGTAGCTCCCATGATGGATCAGAGTGAGCTGCCGTTTAGGATGCTGTGCCGGAAGTACGGTGCCACTGCAGCGTACACACCTATGTTTCATTCTCGTCCATTTGCACTGCAGCCGGGATACAGGCGAGTTGAGTTCACCACATGTCCAGTAAGTCGCTTCATTTGTTTCTACACCCGGTGGTTATACACGCTGCTTGAAAGGAAAGCATCTTTAACACTTCAAATTTTTGCCAATTTTAATCCCTATTCTGCACATCTGCACACAAAATTGCACATAAGGTCGGTGTTCACGCTATTGCTAATTTTAAGAAGGGCGATCGGTTTCTATTGATTAGGATCGATGTGATCACAGTTGTGATTCCGGTGACTTGTTCTTTTGGATTACCTGAGCCTTTTATCAAGGGCGTTAACTTATAGTTACATGGCAGGAGGATCGCCCTCTTCGTACAATTTGGTGCGAATGACCCGAAATTGTTGGTCAAAGCAGCCATGTTTGTGCAAGAAGACTGCGATTACTTTGACATAAATTTAGGGTACTTATCTACACCCTCTCGTGTCGCTCTTGGTCGGATCTTCCTTGACTAGGGTGTCGTTAATAAGAGTGCGTATATATATATATATATATATATGTGTGTGTGTGTATGTATCGAAAGAGAGAGAGAAGATTAGCGTTGGTTCTTCAACTGCTTTGGAAACATTTCTGAGATTTTTAATACTTTTCTCGAGCAGGTGCCCTCAACGTGTTGCGAAGCGAGGTTTTAACAGAGCCTTCCTTATGGATGACCTTCCTTTGATTCAATCAATGGTAACTCAGCTTGTGTCTAGTCTGACAACTCCTGTTTCATGCAAAATCCGCACATTTCCAGACTTGGAAGACACGCTTGCCTATGCTCATATGCTGGAGAATGCCGGTTGCTCTTTGTTGGGTGTTCATGGACGTACACGGGATCAAAAGGATGGTAGAACTACCAGGGCGGACTGGGAAGCGATCAAAGCAGTAAAAGAAGCTGTTCGCATCCCAGTGCTGGCAAACGGCAACATACGGTGGCTTGAAGATGTGCATGAGTGCATTAGGATGACCGGTGTAGATGGCGTGCTGTATGCAGAATCTTTACTCGAGAACCCTGCTCTATTCAGCGGTCACAGGATGAGGCCTGTGGATGCTGTCACTGGGGGATTGGTGGAGCTGAGCAGGGAAGGCGCACTTAATGAGCCGTCACTAGTTTTGGAATATTTAGAACTTAGTGAGAAGTACCCAATACCGCAGCGCATGATGCGATCACACGTATACAAAATGCCGTGCGCGTGGTCCAAACGATATCCAGAGCTGCGTGATGAGCTGAATTTTGAACAGGGGGCAAGTATTGATTAGATGAAGGTTATGGTCTACAGGCTGCTCGAAAAGCACGTTTCAACAATGGGTAATGGTTCGTCGAGGAAGAGCGAAACCCAGGACACTAGTGAGACAAATAAGCTCGCGCAGCTTAGAAGCCCAATTCAAGTGATGTGATGACCAAGTCGCTGGAAGTGGGCAGCCACAAGTACAGAAATCACCAGGCAGGGAGGAGCAAAGCAGGTCCATGGCGGTGATAGGATTTGTGCTTGTTAAACTCCATCGTAGGATTGCACAATCTTTGAAACTCATCAGCATTTGTCAACAATTGCGATGCGCTTGTGTTGCTTTGCTCAGCACTTGGACCACAGCGGGTTCATTATGTGCCACACTGTGCAACCCTTCGTCCTGCGTCGTCTCTGCAATGAAATGAAGCTGCTGTGCACCATGCAGCACACGGTTCTTTGCAGAGTATGATAAACATGAACAATCGTGTGCATGGTTACGAAGTTGTTGATAACGGATAGGAAAGTTACAAATAGTGCTACTCTAAAGGAATTTGGGAAAAACTGCATCTGGTGATACCACAGTTTCATTCATTTCTATGTCTTCATTGTTGCAGCTTGTGCTTTGGCACTTGTGATAAACTCCAGTGAAGTCCCTGTAATGCATCTCATCTAAGAAGTTGGTGAGGGCCTTGTTCCAACATTTTTTATTCGTTTTAAGTTGTTGTCCTTAAATTCTAGCTAAAAATAATAGTGCTCAAACATCACAACTTGATGCAGCTGGTGTTAAGGTCTCATTGCCAATTGTCTTAGTATATTTTTGAATCAATATAGTAGTCATTCTTACAAATAAGTAATTTGCATTCTAATTTACAACAAACAATATTAATGATATGAAATTTTTGATGCGTCACCATTAATACATTACTTACATTTGTGGGAACATTGTAGGTGGTCAGAAAAGTATTTAATAAAATCTAATGATTCTTTTTTTTATTATTATGAATAGAATCTTTTTTAATATATATATATATATATATACATATACTTATTGTGTGTGTGTGTGTGAGAGAGAGAGAGAGAGAGAGGTTTTTAAAACAACATAATTATATACATATATATATTTCATGATTTTAAAAAAAAAAAAATCTATATTTTATTGTTATTAGAAATTAAAATTCTATACATACATTTTAATGTATTATAATTCCACATATTAAAACTAATATATTTTTTCATTTAATTTATTTTCATTTATTTCTAACTGTCAATCTTCTTTTTTAATATGGATTTAAATTAATAATTTTCTGACATGTTTTGTTGGTAAATATATATATACATGTATATACTGTTTGCAAAACTCTTCATAAAACTCAATTTCAAGACTAAATATTGTCGTGTAGATTATCATCTATAATGTTGAGTTTGATGTTGAAATAAAATGGATTTTATATCCTGTCTTTTACCCACTCATTATTGTCAAATTAAGAGCAATGGACAAGCAAGTAGTCAATAAGGTAAGAATATTTTCTTTGAATAATTAATTTATATTATATCAAATGGAAATGTGCCAAAGATTCTCTTAGATATAGATAGATGGTTTGTAATACTAAAAAAGTTTAAAATTCAAATTTAGCTGATGGCACTTGATTAGCTACTTGTATTCATATTTATTTGTCTTATGAATACAACATTGATTTCATATGTTACATCTTTTTTGGAACTAATGTTGGTCTACTTTATCTTTAAAATAATCTTACCTTTATGCTGGTTCTATCCTTAGGCTTGTATCATCACCTCTAGGCTATCAAAAGCTATAATTTTGCCAAAGAATTTCTGACATGGTCAAGTTCTTTGTTGAGATGAACATCTCGTACGAATGATCATTACCCTTAATATCCAATTTGGTGGTAGTTTCTTATTAGTCAAAACTTATTTAATTGTATTAGATTTTAGGACATGTATTTTTGTTGTTATTATTACTATTATTATTATATGAATTTTAAAAATTAATCTTTTTCTTAATATAATTGAATTTGTCCTTAAGTCTTTTCATTTTCGCAAGTAATAGCAATGTGATATAAACTTGAGTTTTTATACAACTTGTACAAAAACTTCAGCTTTTCTCATTATAACACGCATTTATAGAAGTAATATAAATTTGGCAATCAAAAAAGTATTGAAGAAGTTTTATAATAGTTAATAAATATGGCTTTAGTATTACAAATTGTGTGGTTTTCTTATTTTTTTTTTATCTCATAAAAAAATGGTTTAATACATACATACAAACATACATACAAAACATTTAAATTAATATATCTTAAAATTAAAATATCTATTTCAATCAATATATATGTTTTGTAAATAATAAAAAAAATATTTAAATATAATAACTAAGCACATTGTTAATTACATTAAATAATATTAATACTATTAATTATATGATACTAATATAAAATACCATTATAGCTAAGTTGTATATATACACAAAAGCATATGTGAAATTAAGAAAATAAATTAGTTTTCTAGTATTGTTAAAATAATATATGTTTTTTTGGAAGGATACTTAATTTCCTCTAGAATATTCTAAGTATTGTTAAATGTGTGTAGATTTATGCAAAACTCTTTTAAAGAATTTTAAAAAATACTTCAAAAATTATATATATATATATATATATATATAAAAAGAAGTAATTCAATATCCCTTTATTATTCTTTGAAATATCTAATTAATTAACTACTAATGTTGTAAGTAGAAGTTATCTTTGAATTAAAACCAAGACTATTCTTAATCACACCAAGTCCTTTTTTAAATTTACATATTTTATTAATTATAATACCTTAGTGTATTTCAACATAAATATTATAATATTTTATCTTATTGTGTGGTTTCTAAAAACATGACTAAATGTCCTAATACATAATTCTAAAATCACATAACAAAATAACTTAGAAGTAAAGTAAAATTTAAAAGTTTTAATAAGTGCCAAAATAAAAAAGATAATTGTGCCAAAATATTATAGGTATATAAATGAAGAACTGCAAAGACTAAAGTAAAGAAATCACAAGATTAAAGAATAGATACAACTTTTTTTTATGTACACTTCTATTCCAAAAGTTTAAATAAAATATTATAATTTAATTTTTGTAAAATTACAAAAATAATTTCAAAAAATCTATAAAACTTTATGTGGCAATAGAAGAATGAAGAAAGCTCTAAAAAGAGATACAAACAAAATATTTGTAATTTTTAATATCTTAATTAAATTCTTCAGTAAATAGAGTAATAAATAAAATATCTAAACCATATTATACATTTTAAGATACATACATATAACTTATTTTTTTTTCATATATTTTGGTTTTTACTTAAATTTAGAATAGAATATAAACATTTTAAGCTAATGATGATGTCTAACATTACATTTTAGTAACTTTATATATATATTTTTTGAGCAAGCAACACTTAAAAATATTTTGGTATTCTTGTCACATTATTCAATTAAATTACTTTACTAATTTGATCATCATTTATTTTTTTAAATCTCTTTTAATTTTGACAAGCCATATGAAAAATTGCAAATTGCAAAAGAAAAAATTAATTCTTCAAATTTGAGTATAGAACCTTTTGTTTTTTGTTTATTTTTTAATTTTTGATAAAATTAGAAAATGAAATAGAATTTACAATACATGATATTAAATACTCACTTAAAGTTACATTGGTTAAGTTTACAATATTGAATATACCATTTATAAAATGGCATTTACTAATTACACATACAACCTTTTCAAGCATTTAAAGTAGAACACATGTTTGTCTCTTAAAAAGTCATAAATTTAGATTAAAGTTCCCCTTGTGGAAACATTTGAATTTACAAGTCACCAAGTTCAGATTTCAACATGATCTGAAAAGGTGATGGAAATCCTTTTTTATGTCGATTTAGCGCATTATATCGCACATTGGGCAACAATAAAATCCTAAATCATCGTTACCCCGAGCTTCTCGTTGAGGCCAAAAACCAACGATCAGAAGCGAATACCCAAAAAATTCATGTGGGCATCGTTCTACGTCGACATATGTACAAAGAGCTGCTTCGGAATCAAATTAGGGTTTCACCGTGGGCGTTTTCTCCTGGTCGATTCTCTTCTCGGAGATGTAGAGCGACGCCATCCGGTTGCTCTCGGCGCCACAATGCATGTCCGAATGTCGTGACGCAAACGACGCCAGGAACTTCGATCCTGCGGCAATTTGCGCTGTCGCTCTGGTTGGAGCGATCCCGCAGGCATGATCTGAAGGGAACCTGTGTCGAAGGCACACAGTTTTCTGACAAGAATTGCAGCAGTATTTGTTGGAGAAGGTTAGCAATTCGCGGCATCCCCGCACGGGACACTTTGGTTTCTTGGTCACTTTGACGTAATTCCTTGGGTCGCAGGTTTTGCTCTGCTGGTGTTTCTTCATTGTGAGCCCGACGGTTTCTCCAAACACGGTCTTCACACTCATTGCGCAAACAGGGCATATTTGAACGCTGACGTCCTTGTGATTCGCATTCGCGCAGCTGTGTGCCTTGTAGGCCCGGTGCTCCAGGCAAAAGTCCTGCCAGTGGGGATTGAACACCGAGACCATCAGCTCCGGTAAATTCCGGACAAAAAAAATAAAGAAATACGGATAAGAATTGAATTCAAGACAATTCTACACTAGAGGAATTCATCACCATACCTTGCGGCAACCATCACACTTAAAAGGCAAGAAGTCGAGCTGATGGCACGTCTCCTCGCTGCAATGCAGTCCCAAATCGGGAAACTCCATCTCCGACTCTAAACTCGATTCCGCAGCCCGCTACAAAAACCCAACACCGACCAATCCCCTTAATTCCTCCGCTCCCGCCCCCCTCCAAACCCACCTTGAGGAAACCTGACGATCTCCACCAAGCTCTGCGATTCGAATATGCGCAAAGTGATCAACCCTATATGAGCAATTGAGAATCCGATTAGAACTACTGAGACGTTGAAGAGCAATTGAAAGCGTTCGGTTGAGTGGGCATGAGCAGCGGAAAAGGGATTTATCAGAGATGAAGTAAGATGAAGGAAACTTGGTGTGCAAGACAGGGCTGAGATGCGAGAGATTCGAGAGGATTCCAGGGCCTCCATGAAGGCTGAAAGTCTCAAGTAGGTTTCGAAACTCCGTCAAGCCTGAGATTCAATGCCCGCAAATTGGCTACGAAACCAGCGTCACTGAATCGGATCCATCTGAAAAGCCCAGCTCAGGAAGCATCTTCGCCTCCTTCGCAGGCGCAGAGCGAGCGAGGCTTGGCTGCGATGCTCAGCGGGGACGTCGACGAAACCGAAACGAAACGTCCATAGGGACGAAAAAGTATAAAGTGGGCGAAAACGAAAACGCGAAAGTCGAAGACCAGGTGGTGATATATTTGTGAATTATAATTAATCCAGCGACATATAATTGACCCATCCAAATTGAATCTTATCCAAAGAATCAAAGATTACTAACAAACCAATAAGTTTTATTTGCTTTTTGTTAGTCTGTTATTTCTTCAATTATAATCATTACTTGATTTTTTAATTTATTTTTACATTCACAAGTTCAAATTATTAAAATTTTAATTTTTTACTCCAATAAAAAGAAATTAAGTAATTAATATATAAGATTCTATCTTAAAGGCCATTTTATTTTATTTACATAGTTTAAGTTTACAACTTTTACATTGTAACTCTCACAGTATATTTATATAAAAAGACATTGAATTGATGGTAAAACTAATATTTAATTACAATTGGAATATTTAAATTTTATTAAAAAATATTGCATAAGTAATTTGAAAAATAATTTAAATTAAACTAAACTAAGAAACTTTGTAGCTCTTTGATATACCCTTTTAGAAATTTTTATTGGTTTTTTTAGATTATGAAGAAACTAAATTTACATCCTTTTATACTTTTTACAAATCTATGGTTAATTTTTTATTTTTATTGTTAAAAAATCATAAAATATAAAAGTAAAATAATAATAAATAAATTATAAAAATAGGTAGATTACTTAAATTATATTATTTTTACTATCTTCTGAAGTTTGTGGTTGTTTTGAAAGCTACTAAGAATAAGTTATTATAATTTTATTACATAATAAAGGTTTTTTTTTTTTTTTTTTTTTCTTTTTTTTTCTTTCAATGAAGAAATTTTCTTAATTTTTTTGTTTAATTTTGCTAAAGCAATCTTGAATTGTGTTTGTAGGATCAGTTTTAATAAATTTATTGAAATTTTTTTAATATGATCTATGAATTTTGATTTTGGGTTTTGTTATTATTATTTCTTTTTTGATTTATTATCCTTAAAAGAGTTTTTACATATGACAACTTATAGTTTTTTTCGGTTATCAAGAGCTAAATATAATTAATTTCTTTACAGAATCAACAATATCTGATATTATATTTATGAATACTATTATTTGTTCATTTTTCTTTCTTTTTATAAAGCACAATGCGAATTCTTTAAAAAAATTATTATATTTTTAATAATTTAAGAAGATTTAATTTATACTATCCTTATTATTTTATCATATATATTTATTTATTTTTAATATTTAATTTTTGATTTTTTTTTCTTCCTATTTTCACACTTTATACCTTGCAAGTATTATATTACAAATTTTGGTCGTGATAAAATATTTATATTTTTTTATTAGACATTGATTTATTTAATGTTAAATAGTCTAAACTGAAAAAATCAAATCATTTTTTAATTATAATAAAATTATAAATTTTAATGATTTTTTAAAATTTGAAGTATTCTTAAGCCTATTATAAATTAAAATTAATCTTACAAATAAACAATAATTTTTTAGTTGTTAAAATAATTCTTATAAAAAATGGCATAAATTGAATTAAAATTGATCATAAATACAATTAGAAAATAAAATAAAATAAATCGTCTTCTTTATTAAGTAGATTTTAAGTATATTCTAAGTATATATAGATAATATAAAAAAAAATTACATGATCAAGCCACCTTTAAAATATCAATATTAAATAAACGATGTTTAGTTAAAAACGTAAGATTCAAGGACCAATTCAACAAATTTTTAAAGTGAACTTATGTTAAGTCAAAAGAAATTTTAATAAAAAGGATTATTTTTTTATTTAGATAAAATAAATAAATTTTAATAAAATATAAAATATATTATTTTTAAAATTTATTATTAATATATATATATATATTTATATATTTATATAATTATAAATTGAGATTTTTTTCATAAAATAGTAGATGGGAGATACTTTATTGATATTAATTTAAAGATGATATTCTACCAAATTTATTAGAAATTTCATGCAAATTTTTCTTTTATTGAAGGTGTTAATCTTATAAATGTAGTGCAATATAGTTTGAATTGTGTAATCTTTTATAAATTCTATAATTTTTTTGTATTCTACATCTACAAAGATTTTATATCGTACATTCAAAGACTTCAAATGGCCCTGAAAAAATCTGTAAAATAAGATTTAAATATAAATTATTGCTAATGCCGCTACATATTTGTTACTACCACCACAGTTTGTTGTTCACCACATGTTATCACAAATTTCACTATTGCCACTACAACTTGCCACCAACTCAATATATTTTCTAATTTTTTTTTGAATTAAAAAAAAACCCTATTAATATTTTTAATGTATATATTTCAAATTATGTAAAAATAATTTTATTTTTTATCCAAAAAGTAATTGAAAAGCTAATAAAAATAAGTTGTAGTAGCAATAGCAAAAATGTGGTGGCATTAGCAATCTTGTAAATATATACAAACATACAATACAAATACATTATATATACATGATAAATAGAATGAATTTGCCAAGTATGAAGTAATATTGAACAACATTAGACAGTTTGGTGCTCAAGACAATTCATAACTGAGAGCAGCAAAGATTGTGCTTAAGATGAATTATTTGGCATTTACTAAAGCCACTGCAGTGTGATAACATGATTAGAATAACAAGTTGGAATCACAATGCATGAAAAAATTATGCTTCCAAAATAGACTCAATAAGTTAACTAGAATAATATGACAAAATTGATATTATTACACTTCAATTATGTGTGACAATGTATGCAGTGACTTGTCGTTTTATCTCCTCTATCGACTCATTTTTTAGAAACTTGATGATTTTCTAGCTTTGAACTTGACATAACACCTTTTTCAATTTGTTTGAGATTATTTTTCTTTTTTGTGGGATTTTCTTGTCTTTGCATTAGCTTTAACTATGGAATCTAGCCACAATCACAAAGACGTCGACACTTGCATTTTTTGAACCTCTTTTTGCTTGAAAATTAACTCTTTGATGGATATCTCTGCCTTGTTGTCTCCTCATTCTCTTGAGTCCCTTCTTTTTTTTCATAATGGACTTTATTATTGTTTTAAGGTTTTTTTTTTTTAATAATAGGAGAAATCTTCTTCTCATGCTTCCTTTAAAGGTAATTGAATACATCATTCTGAGTTGAGATTGTGCAATCCTTTGGATTTGAGATTGTGTCTACAACCAATTAAATATAAAGAGCGTAGATCTTATTGCTACAAGTAGATTTTTTCTCTAATTTTTGAAATTTTTTCCAATCTATAAAAATCTCCACAACTTAACTCCAATGTGGCACAGAAAGTTCAAAAATGATTTTTGTTGTATATTTGTCATTTAATTCAGCAAGCTTTTCTGCTTTTTATGTCAAGAAAACATTCACTAAATAAAAATGAAAGGAAGAAATATTTTTAATAAAGGTATGTTTCAAAAAGGTGCCTTTAAATGTAATATTATTCTTTATTCAAACACATATAATCTTTGACTTAATAATTTAACAATAGGCAAAATACTTGATAAAATTAGCTTAATCCATATTTATACAATAATAAGTAATTGTATAAGGTTAGTACACTCTTTAATCATACTTACTAACATGTCAATGAAATCAAAAATCTTGTCATAGGCCATAGTTAGAGATTTAATGTCTGCTACTAGCGACTTTGAATGACATCAATATATTATAGAAGCAAGGAAAAAATTATCACGATCTCGAAAGAATAAACTATGAAAGGATAAACTATAAAAGGATAAACTATGAGACATGCATGTGTCTTACAATATGACGTGTTGGTCTAATACATACTTAGGTATCAATACTGAAATAACTAACAACAACATTATTTATTGAATGTTATTAGAGTGGTATATATATTCATTTAAGAAAGTGGATGAATAAAAGCCATCCACAAGCCTTCTTGTCTACACACATAGTTGACAAAATTCATTGATTCAAAGTAGATTTCTCCAATATTCTTGCTGCACTTCAAATCTTTTATAATTTATATTTCAATGAGACATATGAGTTGAGAGTTCTTCTATAATTTAACAAAATTGAGAGAACTATTATTCAGTTCTCATATTTTTAGAGAAGGTTTCAAATTGAAACATATTTTTAAAATCACTCTTACAGTTTTTTTCAGCGTTTTTGAATGATCCCTTCAAAAAATCTCAGAGATGCTTGGCTTTGTAATAATCGATTAGAATTGCAAGTAGACTTGATATAATAGACATTGTGAATATAAATATGAGACATTCAGCTTTGTCTTCATAGTCTTTACTATCTAAATCATAAGAATCTTTCTTATTTTACAAGAAGGTGCTATGATGGAGTAGTGAAAGTAGATTCCAAAGCTTTTAGGATTTAATAATGTAAGTTATTATGTATTTTCATGAATGTAAGTTAGAAGAACTTACAAGTTTAACCTCATTTGGAATAAGGATTATCTTCGACATTTCTAATCTACAATGGAAGATAGAAAAAGTTAAAAAAGAATATAAAACATAGATAGGAATTTTTTTTCAAGGAAACTAATTTAATACTATGAAAGAATAAACTATGAAAGGATAAACTACAATATAGATACTTATCTTATAACTTGACTTGCTAGTCTAATTCATACAAAAGTATCAATACTGGAGCAACCAACAATAATACTATTTAATGAATGTTACTAAAGTGATATATATACTGATTCAAGAGAGTAGATGAACAGAAGTCATTTATGAGCCTCCTCATCTATAAGACTAGTTGAAAAAATCCACTGACTTGAGGTGGGTTTTTCTAATAGATCTCCATTTGCCACTCATTTCTTGCAAAATTATAGAAGAAATTATTCGTAAGCTGAAATGATCGAATATACAAGTTGAGTTAGCTTCTTGCAATATCTATTTC